GGGGTCGCTTGACGGATAGTGTCCGTGCCTCCTGTGTGAGCGCTTCGTGGGGAGTGGGCGGCAATGCGGTGAACAGATCACACTTCACCGCATTCACGATGGAGTGACATGATACTTGACTAAGACAGCACAATTGGAATAGATTTGGTGAATTATAAATAAATAACACGTTATTTTTTTGCAACCCCATAGGGATGACGGTTGAATGAATCCCAGCCAGGACTTGAACTTAGATCACTCTGACTATGTCACAGGAGCTCTGGCAATGTTACCATCCATCTACAATTTCAGATATGAACAAAGGTGAAGTCACGTTCAATAGTAGCTGTTCTCAATGCACTTTTGCAAAGCATCTCGTCGTCAGACAGGACTTGACATTAAACAGAATAAGGGCTCTCTCTACGTAGGCTGGCATTGCGCCTGATGAAAAGTGGCAAAAAATGGCATAACGGAATTGAGTAAGTAAATCATGTACGGAAATGCGCCGAACACATTAATTTAGCATTTTCCATTTTAATGTCACACGAGGCCATGAGTACCCTTTCAAAGATTAAATAAATGAAAAATAGAAATTCATGACTGCGTTTTGTGATGAGACCATTTGCTTGATACTTTCTACATGCTGTAATTATTGCGTTATCCTCCAAACATTTGACTGAGGGTTCAATATATTAAATGGGAATTAGAATGCCATGTGATGTTCTAGGATGTAGCAGGGCAGGTTGCATAACCCCTAAACCTACAGATTAGTAGTATTACCCAAACATCCCAATGCAGGATCATCCTAGCAAAGAGACCCGTGAGCCATTTTTTGGGTAAATAATTGCCGTCATTGCGAGAAATATATACAAAAAGTCATCGCTTTTTGCACAACGCGTTTTTGCTATAACATGGCCCCCCCTTCTATTCGGAAACACTTTTTGCACAATGCAGAACACATGCCCCGTTGTACAACGTGGAACGTGCCCGCGATATCGCGGTTTCTGAGCGGTCAACGACGAGCTACTTTCTTGAGCTGCACAGGCTCTGAGTAGTACGGGAATTCTGGGTAAGTGGAATCCCCTATCTCAGGACTTTGTCCCACCATGGGATGACTGCAGGCCGATGTAACAGTGTGAATGTCATTCAAACTTCCATTGTTATTCCTGATGCGTTCATGCCCTGTAATGTATATTCGGTAACTCCTTGCTTAACGCGGCACTGGTCAGGAACACATCTACCGCGTTAAACGAGGAATTGCTGGACTGCTGGGAACAACGTTGGACCGGTAACCAGGGGTTGATTACCAGGGGTTGGTCACCAGCCTAGCAGACCCAAACCCAGGTTGTGGTGATGATATAAGAGTGAAAACACCTATGGCCCCAGAGCCTCTGTGGGTGTTGTTGACGACCGGACATGCTCAATATTTTCAGCCTTTGGCTAAGAGACACCCACAACGTCTTGGAGAAAAATTACGGCATATGTTGAGTCTGCGGATTTCTCCCGTCAACAAGGTGACTTAAAAGCTGGACACGCTGATGACAGAACCTTAAAATACACAGCGCGCGCGTACAGTCAGACGAGGCCTCAGTCAGTAGCCAAAGGAGCTGCGTTTATTTAATGTCATCATGAATGGCGGTCCGTCGTTATGGTCGACAACAACAGCCCTCAAAGCGCTGCCTCTGCATCGAGTTCCTGTCATGTTCACGGCGAGAGTCATGTTATTATCTGGGTCCTAGCAGGCTGTTGTAGAACTCCTGTTATGTGTGACGAAGTTGGGGGGGGGGGGGGGGCAGTGGGGAGGCAATCTTTGCCGGATCCCATCTGTATTCTAATCAATAACCACCGGGAACAGTTTGCCAAGAGGACACCAATCCCAATGTCACCGGTGAGGCCTATACCGCCTGGTAAGACCAGAGGTGAGTGTCCGAGTGTCTATGGTGCAACAGATGTGGGATCAAGCACAAACGTGGAAGAAGTGATGGGTGAGGCGCCGTGGCATCGGTTGGCATTTATTCGTGATTATGTGTCCATATCAAGTATTGTTGGATTTATTAATATTACTGATCTGTCCAAATCAAGTTTTTTTTTTGGGTTCCATCGTGTAAATGTATCGTTAAACCCACCACCACCCAACACGGTCAACCAGTAGGGTTTGTGACTTAAATAAAACGTGCTAATTAGTTACGACTTCAGCACACCGGTGCGTTGAAGAGTATCCCACATCATTTACAATTCGAGTACCCGTGACCTTACACTGAGGATTACAATCAGCTGCATCAGGCAATAGCCAGAATTGTGAAAAAGTCCTCCTGTTTCGGTCCTAATCTTTATCATGGATAATCTTGGTCGCGACCAATATCATCCATAATATAGGTTTTCTGGTTACCCATTGGAATGGATATGCATTCATTAATTCATTAATCCCCCCTTCCTTCACACAAGCGCTTACAAGTGACGTCATCACATCTATCCCTCTATTTAAGGAACGAAACAGCTAGTTGTAATTATTGACGAAAACATCATACTCAGATTGTAAATGTTGTGGATTTGCTCCCCAACACACCGGTGTGCTGTACTAGTGACGAATTGGCATGTTCTGTTTACGTGTCGGGTGGTGGCGGGTTTAACGACACATTTATATTTGCGCGATCTAACTCCAAAAAAATCTATATTATAGATTAATCATCTTTGTTGTTGTTTGCCTGATAGCACCAACGACTACCGCTGAGGTCCTGGATGCAAATCCCAATGGCTTCCTACCACCCGCAAATAAAGCAAGTCACCAACAATAAAAAAAAACATTTCCAATGTCGTTTTTTTTAAGCACTTACGAGCCTACGTGTTCAACTGAATGATTCACTATCACATCTGACGACCAATTACATTATAAATTAAGAGACTGCTTTACTTGTGCCACACAAGCCCGGTCACATTAGGCGAGTACTGCTGCCTATATTAAATTCAGTGCATTAAATGACACCGTGAACGTGAGCCGAGTTTATTAATATCAATAGTTTCATTAAAAATAAAAATAATCAGGGGGAGTGTCATGGAACCTTAGGACTTTTTTTCCAGGAGGGCTCCTTCATTTGGCCAAGGAATCTTTGACGAGTGTTTTGCATGCCGGGAAAACTGGAAGTTACTGGAGAAAAGGCCATATAGAAATAAGGAGAAAACTATGAAAACTCCGTACAGGCTGGTACGACATCTTCTAATATTCGACAACAAAACTCGATCAGGAAACACCTCCTCCGCACTCAACACTTTCCTCTCCTCCTCTGCTCATGAACGAAATTCCCTCTGCAGTCTCAGCCAGCACCTTGCCACGCAATCCCCTCTCGATCTGCCCTGAAGGCACCCGTAGCTTCACATCTGTTCCCGAGTTATGAGATGCGTTCGCTTTTGGGTCGCTTTCTAAATCCCGCACCGCGTTGCGTTGCACCGCTTAACAATGGCATCTGCGGCAGCATTAACACAGGTCAGGCACCATTTCAAAGGCTTCATCCAGCTGGGTGCTTGACAACTGTGGGGGTTTGTGTCGCCGAGACCCCTCGTGAGTATCCCTCTATCTCTCCCGGTGCCATTGTTTGTGACTCGCTTTGATCAAATTGTCAAGCTTTGGGAATCAAGATCGGATGTCATACGTGGCGTTCCAATCCATCATCGGTGATAGGCTTGGCTCAGAGGTAGTGCACTCACCTCTGAGTTCAAGGGCCGATGGTTTGAAACCCAATCCAGGTTTTCTGTGCAAGAGCGCTTGTCCGTGTCCGTGTGTGTGTGTGTGCATGCGTGTGCGACTGCGAGCGTTAGCCATAGCGGTTGGCGCAGTGGTTAGCACACCGCGCTATGAAACCGGCGACGCGAGTTCGGTTTCCGCTCATGGCTAACATCAGTGGCGAATTTTAAAAATAGTTCTCGGCCTCACCTGGGTGGACTCAGCCTTAAACGAGTACCTTGTGCCATGTGTGAGCATCAGCACTCTGGAAACAAAGGGGGGCACGTGTGGTGCTGGCCATGCAACCCGCTTAGTTCCTTTGTAGCCATGGCATGACCTGGGTTACGTTCTTTGCCTTAAACATCAGTGGCAGGGAGTAACTAAATCAGCACAGGGCCTCCACGAGCACAAGGCCTCAAATCAAGATTGGCCTCCACGAGGTTGCTCCAGATTTTCTTTGATGCCAGTACAGTGCGTGGCCATCACCACTGGGGAAACTGCAGTCTGTGCCATGTCAGCCTCAATAGGTGCTCGCTAAGAGATGTTTGTGTACCCACGTTTGTGTTGATTAGTAAATAGCGCACTGAACTCTAATCTTAGTGGCTCACAGCCACGCGCAACATCGGTGCCATGTGATATTTGGACCTGACCTGGGTGTCCCGTTGGGACTGGAGGTAGTAAGACTAACACAAGAGAACCCTACTTGCTCCACTTTTAATCTACTGAACACATCACGACATTGCATGCACTGCAGCAGAAAATCTAATATAAAAAATGACTTCTTCATCAGTTATCATGATCTTTCTGCTGCTGGTTGCATACCTATCTATGCCATAGTGATCTTGGGGGTTGTGTGCGGTGGCACAATGGTTCACATAATGCACTACGCGATCCCTGCTCCCTGAGTTTGATTCCCGGCCATGGCAAACATCGGTGGTCAGTGGCAGCAGACCTTGTCCAGGAGAAGCCCTTTCACCAAGCTGCACTGACCAGCGTGGTGAAATACGGTCAAACAACTCCCACGAGTGACTAATCGCAATAATTGTATCCAACAGGAAATTGACACAGGGCTATAAATCATGGAATTACTTATTCAACAAAACAGCCAGCAGCGAATTGACGTAAGACAACAAAAAATAGAATAATTATACAATGGCTTCTGTACTGGTCTGACACATTGCTTTGCGCTTCGAGGGATGCTTCCCTGCAGCGTCGTATTGTGGGTGCCGGAGTTTCTCCTGGGCGGGATCCCGAGCACGTGTGTCTGCTGTTCCCGTGCATGTGGCTTCGGAACAGAGCGCACCTTTGTTCGTCGCTGGAGGACCAGTTGCCTCTTCGTCTGGGCTCTCATCCCCAGAATTCTCCACCCCTGCCTGGCTGTCGGCCACGGGCGACCCAGGGGCGCTGGTCTTTGCGTCGTCTTCCTCGCCAGCTGAACGACAAGAGCCTGGAATGAGTTAATGAATCAGCCAGGGCTTTCGTGCACTTCAGTCACTCTCGGTCCAGCCCGTTCTGTCAATCGGCCAGTTGGCCAGTTGCTACGTCGATTGGCAAATTAATCAGGCATCGAATCTGTAAGTCAGTCAGTTTGTCAATCACGAGTCAACGATTGTGTTGCTAATGCATTAAATCAGTCGTTGAGTAAATGAGTCAGTAAGTTTGGAAAGTAAAATTTGAATATCGAGTAAAGCACTGCAATGGCGTGTAATTCAAAAGCACCGACATTAAAAAATAATACAACACAATTATCATCATCAGCAGCATCAGCACCTCCGCTGTAATACAGAATACTATGCAATCAATGATTTACCCTGGTAGGCGTAATTTGCTCGATTACAAAATGGTTATCAAATTGATACGATTAATTAAAAAATATACTCTCCTCGTAAAAACATATATACGGGTGTGTAACATTCATCTCACTTGAGACCATGGACATTTAATTCCCGGCACTAATACATTACCATAATGTATTCAAGATGCTGTGAATATAAGATGACGGTGACACGTTTATTTTGTCCAAAGTTTCACGAATTTGTCCCATTTCCTATTGGAATCAAGCGATGGCCGGGACTGTATTAGACCTCATTGTAGCTGTGCCTGCAATCAATCAATTAATCATATTTACAACCTGGTGGGAGCTGATTGATACAAAAATACATCTCTTTCAAGATCAAGCAGCACAGATAACCTATCGGCGACCGACTTGCTGCACTTATTCCGACAGCAGCCTTATTTCCCTGGCAGATGGGCGTCTTGTGAAGATTCATCAGCCCTGCCTCAAAATCGATGAAATTACAGACATGCATGGCCCATCAAGCATTTATTTAAATCTACTTTTTCCATCTAACATTTCCATAATTCCTATGCTTCTGTGGATCACGATATGCAGTCATAATCCAGCTTGGAAGCAATGAGACTACGGCACTCTGGAGTTAAAATTCCAATGATTGATCAACTCAACCCATCATACCTTCAGGGCTGATAAAATAAGAACTACTCACAGGGTAGCCAAGAGAGGTAATCAGATGGTTAGACTGGTCCCACATGTGATTAGAATGTTGAATTTCTACCGTTGCCTTGGAGAATGAATGATATCCATTGATTTATTGTGGAGGGAAAAGCTTTGATTTTGATGTAGTGTTAGGTGTTATAAGAAAGTGTAAGGCAGGGGCAGCACATGGTTAGAAATAGGTTTAGACCTAAACATTTATTACTTTGTCCCAATAAACAGGGCACATTGCTCAACTTAATCCAGCCAAGCTCCTCCCTCACTTTAGAAGAGAAGGAAAAAATATCGTAGCCTTTTGGGTCGATACGGTGGCATTGTGGCTTAGACACAGATTTACATAAACAATATGACATGTGCCAAACGTAACTTTTTTCATATACAGCTAATTTACTTCATTCATACATTGAAGCAAATCAAATCCACTTTGTTCATATGCAGTCAATTTCAATGGAGCTTGTTTGGCATTAATGGAATTGATTTGAGTTGAGTACTGACTGTATGCGTGTGTGTGCTATCGGTCATTATACTAAGGCTTGTTTTTGGAAATGAAAATCGGATTTGCTTACATTTTCTCAGGTTGCTCTTGCAAATGAAATACATATGGCTGTTTTAAAAATAATAACTGCAAATATACTTCGAATAAGTATTTATTTTCAGGTGAGAATATACTTTTACGGTTGCAATCAAACTCCGTTGAAAGTTTGAATGCAGCTTTATTGAGAATGCACTAATGTACTTAAAGCATGAGCACCTTGATAATTGGTTTTTTACCCTTCTATCTGGCAACAAAACTGACACCTTTTTTACAAGGAGTCATGTTTGTATAGACCACAATACCTGTAGTCATAATGCAAACAAAAAATATAACTCTGATAATGTGCACTGTCCTTGATGTTGATTGGTCCACACCCGAGACAGCTTTCCTTAGAGCCTAGTCTCACATGGGTTGGACCACATTACGCCATCAGAGTTATGTTTTTTGTTTGCATTATGGCTGCAGGTATTGTGGTCTATGCAAACATGACTCCTTGTAAAAAGGTGTCAGTTTTGTTGCCAGATAGAAGGGTAAAAAACCAATTATCATATTTTTACCTGGCAAATGAGGTTCCAATGGCATAAGCACCTTCTTTACTGAAAGGTCATGGACAATGCCTATCGCCACATGAACCCGTCAACTTAAGTTCAATTCCCTGTCAAAGTTAACATCAGTGGTGAGTGCAATCTGGCCCAGTCCTGGACCAACCCACACCAACCTGTGTGGTGAAGTATGGTCAAACATCTCTCATGACCTCCACCGCATGGGGGCCCTTTAATTCAGCAGTGAATTGACAAAGGACTGAACATTAAAAATAACAGCTACTATATTTAATTCAACAATTACTATGTACGTGCCTTATTCTCAAGAAATGTGTTTCAATTTCAAAGTACCTCCCAGTTGAATGTAATTCCACATTACCATGTTGGCAAAGAGTCTCTCAGTCGAGCAACCAGAGTTGGCATCAACATGAATGTTTAGAGAAGATGTTGTCTTTGAATAATCTATATTTTTGATAACTTCCCCCGTGAACATCTATTAAGCCTAAATCAGTGAGCAGTGGAAAGAATTTTACCACGCTAAGCATTATTGACAGTGAAGTGATGACAAAAGTTTTAAAGTTGGCCGCTGACACTCACAGAAGAGCTGCAGTTCCCCCCTTCTGTCCTCTTAGATTGCAGGTGCAAGTGCTGTTAGCGAGCGCCTATTCAGGCTGGCACAGCATATGAGCACGTGTTCTGACCAGCACCACGCATGTCCGATCGTCATTGCCACTTCAGAATCTAGATTGAAAAGTTTGTTGTCCTTTCCCCGCACCTCCAGTCAGCACGGTTGGCTATGTACGGTTCGAAAGAAGTTCAAAATGCATACATACATAATTCTGCTCCTTTACCTTAGAGTAAGGCAAGGCCAGGTGAAAATCCAGGTGAAAATACCAATTGTCACAGATGCTTTGCACCATGCCCAGAAACGGAATCTGTTTTCAGGGTGGATGATGCAGTGCATTTTCCAACGGGACACGACTTCTTTGCCACAAACACACTCACAGATGCAAACGGAGTTACTAATTGATGTACGTATCGTAGAGTACTTTCAAAAACAAATGTACTGAATGGTATTGATAAACCAATGACTGCAAGTTTTCTAGATGGCTTTTAGTAGAGACTTAACCAGACTGAGAGGACAACTTGAATAATTTACTTAATTAATGCAGCCCGTTTCGCTTCACTTATATTTCCAGTAAGACAGCTGTACAAAAAAGAAAACATGCATAGGGCTAAATGCTTTCATCATGGCTCTGTGTGATGTTATGTTTTTATTCCCAGCATCTGTTTGGCTGGTGCAATCAAATATCGTTAAGTGATTACTTTTTTTGTCTGCTGAAAGGCTGCTAAGCCTACTTGGACTGCCACAGGAGAGAGAAGTGGTGTTTAGTAAATTCCTTTCGTTGAATATTTTCCCTGTGCTCTGTTCAACCATTAGGATTTCATAGAGCACAACGGTGAGACGATATCGAGATGTTAAAAAGTAGCGGCGTGGTGTCCGAATACACTACACCTTCACAAAGCACTTGAATTCAATACAGGGGGGTGGGGGGTGGATGTGAAAGAGTAAATTGTAGATCCAATAACTGTATATTTTAATGTCCCCCTTCGAATGCTGCCAGGACACTGGATTTTATTTGAGAACATCTCAAATCTCTTGAGATGTGTTTAGAATGAACCATGGATACGAAGAGCAAATTCATCATAGTGCAGTCGCATAAGGACAACATTTACGTGGTATATTTCTCTGCTGGTATGTAGAATGAAACAAGCTCTGGGAAGACGTGTGCGAATGTGCGTTTTAAAAGCTACGATGTTTAAAATTCTGCTGAGAACTGAAGTAGCATTGCCTTGGGCCCAGTTTCAAATCTGGGCAGCCACCTGCGATTAAACCAGATTTTCGGTGTAGCCAGTTAAAGGTCTTGACACGGTCAGCAATGGACTTTTTACTTAAATAGAAATAATTCTGTCTCTCACAATTTTTTTTATAAATATATCATTTGAATTGCCTGATGAACATTTTCTCCACGGCTAAAGAGAGCCACTTGAAAGGATCTCAGAAGTAGTTCTGTAGTGTGTTCTGCAGGCTGTTCTTTAACGCATAGGGTGGTGATGCACACTGCACTGCAATGGTTCTAAATGGAAACTGTCACGTGACATTATGCAGGAACGAGAATTGAACTAAAATGTATTTTTAAAAGATGAGAACAGAGGAATAAGCTGTAATGTATATAGCACATTTATTTACACGTTTGAGTTTATTTATAGTCTTGGAAAGCAAGGCAATAACAACTTTTAATCGTTTTTCGATGCACAATTTACTCATGCTGTCCTAACATTTAAAATACAACGTTACTCAAATATGTATTCTAAATTATATATCAACTATCCGAATTGGAGTGCTTATCCTGAACATGGCACACAGCCTACTGCTGATGCCTCGAAAAGATAAAGGCATAGATGATCTTTATTTATAGCCAAGAGCCCATTGAAAAAGAGGTCAAGAGAAGAGCCTAGTTTGCTGCGTGAATTTTTTATGGACTACACGAGCCGCTTTGTAAGAGCAGTGAACTTTCGTGGTGAAAGATGGGTGACTGAGGCAGGAGAAACGGGAGGAGTCACTGCCCCGGGTGAGAGAGCTGCACTCTAACAGAGCAACTTGATGAACAGCTTCTGGTGTTTAAAAATAGGTGCATGCGGAGAACGGTGTGAATTTCGCACTTCGAAATTTGGAATAGAATGGGCACTGGAGTGGCACCCTGGGATTTGGTGGACAAGGCAGAGGTCAATGTAACAACCAGGGCTTGATTTCTCATTAAACAAATCATGTGGGCTCCCAAACCTTTGTGAACCCT